TAGAATCTAACTGCTGCAAAATTCATATTTGGAAGGGAGACGGGGATGTGAATAAAGGGAAGTTACTTTTTTCTTACTCTCTTATAGTTCATTAGGAACATGTAGTGCTTTCTGCCAAGTTACAGAGAAACGTGTACAGGAGTTTGCAAATAAGCTTTTGGGATGACATGACAACCCACATTTAATAAAAACTGCATTGTCTTTTCACACACCCTGCCCAAGAATGAGAAACTGGCAGTGCTGATACAGAAAAGGCATTGATTAATTTTGTGATTCTTTTGTTAGCATACAATACATCTTTTCTTAGAAGATTCTTCTATTTGTTTTTGTAAATCATTCAAAACACCATTACATGAAGATGTTTATACAGAGATTCAGAATTCAAAGTTCACCAACCAGGACAGGTCATAAATGGGTGTACATCACTAACTCCAACCACAGTTTCTGCAGCCAAACCCTTCAACCGGTCTGGGATCTGGCTAGATTGCTCATGCCATGGGCAAGATTTAAGCTTTAGGGAGCTGTGCAAAACTTCTAAGTGCAAAAAAGTGGCATCAGAATGAGCCCGTAGTTGTGCCAAATCTAGGGAATTATGGCCTGTACAATCAAGCGGAATTCTCAGTTCCATTATTCACAGCACCTCAACTGCTATTTTTCCTTGTAATTATTTTTTAACTTAACGTTGTAAGCCGCCCCGAGGCTTCGGCGAATGGGGAGGCATAAAAATGTTTTAATAAATAAATAAAGAAGCCATTCTCCTCTGCTTTCACCAATATAAAGTTATCAAAACCAGCTCTCTTTGCTGAACACACAGAACAGAAAACATCAAACAAATGAGAACATGAATAATGTAAAGCTACTAGAAAAAGTTCTTAATTTACTAGACAACAGACTAATTAGGCTGAAAATAGACCCTTATTCATAAAGTGTAGTTGGAATAGTTTTGAGAATAAGCTCCCTGTAAAATTTTTGTCTCCAAGGCAGAGAAAGTACGTTCAAATTATTTCCACTGCACTATGGGCTGTTGGCCTTCACTCTAAGATCACCTGAGAGTCAGATGAACTTTCATAGAAACGAAAGTTCAACTAACCCTGCCAGGCCAAGTGAACTGATGAGGAGGAGGAATTTTTTTCACAGAACAACATCCTTATGAAGTTTACATCTTATGCTTCCCCTTAGACCCAAGGTGAGTTAGAAACAGGGCAGGTGTGGTTTACTGGCCGTGTGCTGCCTATTCTCTGTCCCGGATATCTAGATAAAAAGGATATAACAATGAAAAGCTCCACAAAGCGGAGCACACCAATTCAGCACGCTGACACCACACTGAGCTAGCAAATGCCATGTTTGGGCTGCAGAGTTGTAATATTCAGACTACAAAGCCTCTCCAAGAAAGCAGTGGCGTGGATGTATTTCACAACTGACCCCAAACAATCTCCTGTGGAATTCAGTGCTCACAATTCTGATTGTAAAGCAAAGCAGCCAATTGGAGCAACTTCCTACTACTCCCCCTGGAAGCAAAATTGCACATTAATGACTAGGCCTCAACCCTTTTCAGGTCTAAAATATTCAAGCAGGGCCATCACCAGGGACATGGGTGAGGTCAGGGTCTCCCCAGAAACCACTGACATAAATACATTTTTTTAAAATCAGAAAACCAACTCAAATTAGAAGCATCTTCTTCTCTGCACCAATGAGCAACCTATGCCAGGAATGGTTAATTATCCACAAAGAATCCATAAACATAACCTGTTGTTGGCTGAGAACTGTGGGCTGTTCGTGGCTGACAAGCCACAATTTGTTATCATGGCTACATTCGGACAACACAATAACCCACAGTTCAGCAACAATCTAGGATCTAATGACAAGCTACACTCAAACTATACTCAGTCCTCAACATGAGATATATATTGTGAAATCCCAATTATTCAGCAACTGTTTGATTCCTATTACCATCCCAGAACATTTCAGTAACAATTCAGAATAATCAGCACCCTACTAGTAAATTATAAGATCAAAACACTTATAACACTCATACACTAATATTCAAATCCAATACTAACCCAGGAATGTCTGCAAGCAGTCACACTAGCAACAGATTCTCACATGTAAATACTGTAACAATAGTAAGGCAAAAACATTTTTCTCCATTTTCATTGTTTATGCCTTTCATTTCTGTAATGTTTAAGCCACCTGGCTTGATTCCAGAAACACACAACTGAAATGCAACACAAATACTACAGGGTTCTTTTAGACAAACAACTTCCACATAAACTTAATTCAATTTATTTTTTTTGTTGCAAAGTGTCCCCACACCAATACCCAAACAAAAGAAGATCCTAGAATCTGCATTCATTACTTTAGACATAATTTAGCCATATAAACTGCTGTTTTAACTTTCTAGCTGTATGGAGCTCCATTGGAAAGCTAAGCAAGAGGTTTTGACACCATTGGCCTGAACTGATTTGCACCCACTTTTCTCCACATTGTCTGAGCACCCTTTAAAACCATCAAGTCTCTGTTTTCTTCTCCCATTATGTCCACATGTACGGGAGAGGCTAAAGCAATTTCACCCTGGTTACGCTGCTTTGAAGTCAGCAGTTCAAATACACCCTTCCACTGCATTTGAGTTTCTAAATTAACCCTTTTCCCTTATTGCACCATGAAAAACAGGAAGAATCACAAAATTCTTTATTTCAAAACAATGATCAAGCACAACAGCCCCAAAAGACCACTTCCCCCACCCCAATATCTACATGGCAAGGCAGTAGGTACCTCTCTTGACATTTGCTTTTCTTTGCAAGAGGTAACTGGCCCTCAACGGCATCACGGTTTGCTTTTCCTCTGCCAAAGATGAAAAGTATTTCAGATTTCTAGGCATCACTCGATTTAGGTCTCTGGGAACCTGCCCCCCGCAACTCACTCCTCATAAGGCAAAATCTGAAACATGGTTTTCAACAGCAAGCACATTAAAAAGTCCCTCACACATTACTCAAGATAACCCAAAACAAAACCATCTGGCAGAAAGTTATTCTAAACCTTGTTGCAGGAAAGCATTCTTATTTTTCAAACTGCACAACCTTAAGAAACATTTTGGTGTTGATCGCATTCTGCACAGAGGCAGTAAAGCCATGCAAAAGGGCTCTAGCCAAAACTTATAGGAGAAGTTCTCACAAATGCCACGGAGTGCCACTTCTACAGCCAAGGGTCAGTGCCAAGCAGCAACACTGCGGGCTCAGGTGAGAAACAAATACCAAGGATGACATCAGACCGAAACCACGCAGTTTCTCTCAAGCGAGCACACTTTGAGGGAGTTCTCCAGCAAGGCTGCTTACAGGAAGCGAGCCACAGACTCATGCCTCCAAAGGAAGGAAGATGCTGACTAGGTTGTCCTTCTGAACAGGAAAGAAACTCCCCCACAAGTTGTTAAAGATTCACGCATAAGAACCTGTTGAATGCGCCAAGGCCGCCCTCTTCCTCCCAGGGAGAAACGCCACAGCCGTCAGGACCCGCCCCACGACACCTGTGCTGTATCATATACACCTACAGAGGAGATGAAGTTTCTCCGGGCTGCCAAGCACCACCCAAAGCTGTTTGCAGTAGCCCAGCTGATTCACAGGGAGTTGTTGAGAGATTCTGGCTGTCAAGAACTGCCAAACCTGCTGTTTCAGTTTCGGAAATTCCTAATGAAAAATTCCTGAGAAAGGACATGCCCTTTTGGAGTGGGAAAATGGCCTCCACATAAACATCCCCTATGTTTGAAAACTATTTCCATGCACACCCTGAATTAAAACACAGGAACGTGCAATTTAGCTGGGAGCTGAACTTTGCCAAAGCAAACATTTTCTGTTGCAACTGCTACAAGGCAGAACTGCAAGTCCGCAGCCAGGCTTTCTCATCAGCAACACAACCAGCTGGGGTGAAGTTTCCAGCTCGAAAATACTATTCAAAGGGAATAAAGCTGGTAAATTATAGGGCAGAATTTGTGCATCCTCCTTGTATTTTTTTAATCCTACAACAAACTGGGAGTGTAAACCTGCCATGCTTACCCGGGAATAAATTCCACTGGAAAAAAAGAACTTTTTCCCAAGTAGACCTATCTAGGATCGTGGCATTCATCCAAAGCCTGCCCAAGAAAGCCAAGTGGGGCTTACCTCTGAGTAAACATGCACAGTATCAAGCGACAAGATGCAGACACAAACTTTATCAAAATAACGACCCCCACTCCATCCAGCAGTGAAACGACTGAGAATCTGCTCCCGTGCACTTCAAAAGCAAGTCAAGAAATAGCACCTTAAAAACCAGGCGCCCAAAAGGAGGGGAAAGAAACTTGCCTGAGTAGAAATGCAGTTTTATCCAACAGGTCTGGGGGTAGGAGGCATGGGGAGCTTGTGCTGGAGGGACAGGGCCCCCGGGTCTGAGGATTTCAACTGCTTTAACTGCAGGCACAAATGTCCCCCCTCGAAAAAGAACGCCCAGGAGGGAAGCCTCGGCTTGTTTCCCTGACCCCTTCCTGAGCCGGAGTAAGTGCGAGACCTTTCACAAATAAAGACAGATGACCCGAACAAAGGGAGGAAGGGAGGGAGGCGCACAGCCCCGAGCGCTCCGCCGATGGGCTTCCCACGAGGGCGAGTGGAAGCCCCCGGGGCCGCCCCACAGCCCACCTCCGGCCCCTCTTGCGCACACGCGCCGCTCACACCCCCCCCCCTCCGGGAGCCCGGGATGGCGCGAGAGGCGCGGGGGCGCCACGGGGCCGGCCGGGCCTGGGAGCCCCCACACCTGCCTGCGCCCCCCGCGGCGAGAAACGCGCTTCCCCACGCGCCGGGCGCGCGGGGGACGCGCCGGGCAGCTTGCGGGGCGGGGGCCCCCTGGGGGCCGCGCCGCCCCTTCCGGGCCCCCGCCCGGTCCCCGAGCGCGGCGGCTCGGGCCTGCCGGGAGGGCCGCCAAGCGGCCGCCCGCGCGACCCCCGCGCTCCCCGTCACCGGCGGCGGTTTCGCGCTTACCTTGGTGGAAGCAGCTGCGGCTCGGGCAGACATTTT